AAATAAACAGCTTTTTATGAATCTGCTAAAACTTTATGGTTTCCAACAACAATCCACAGTTTCTGATTACCACAAATTTTCAGTTATTGTCAGAAATTTAAAACTGCGATAGAAAAAAATTTGTTCATGCCATTTAAGTCAAAAAATTTCATCTCTGTAACTGATGACTGATCGCAGTTTGAAAGCAAAAATAAAACAGAGAAAAAAAAACACTGAAATTCGAATAAGACCAATTCTAATGATTTATTTTCAAACTGACACTAAGACACTAATTATCTGTTCTCTAATTTTTTTTTGCTACTGCTTCTAAGATAATTAAAAAATTTTTTTACTATCTGTCTGTACAAAACAGTGTGGCGTAAACTATCGTTTTTTCAAAAAAATTTCTTCAGAATAAACTACCAAATTTTGATGCTAAAGTTAACGGAAAAAAGAATACAAAAGGAAATGCAAAAGACAAAACTAAATAATCGTAAAAGTAAAAATAAATAGTTGATTTTTTTTCATTTTTTTTTTAAACCAAATCCTCTAACCACTTATTGATAGTCAATTAGATGTCAATCGGTAGAAAGAAAGCACAACTAAAGAAAGCTAAGACCTCTTTTTTCTTTTTCTCCTTTTATTTATTTATTTTTGGTAGTACCGCTTATTTGCCGTCAACAAATGACTATCGATCCACAAAACCACCAATGTTTTTTTTTTGTTTGTTTGTTTGATTACCGATCATACAAACGGAAGAAGCAGCAGAAGAAGAAGAAGAAGAAGAATACAGATAAAAAAAACAGCGGCTTTTTCATTTAGAATAAAGTTAATTAAGTGATCAAAAGGAAAAAACTTTTCTTTTTTGCCTTCAGAAATTTGATTAACACTGTTTATTTTTTGACGAGGAAAATGGAGCCGAAGGAGGGGAGCAAAAAAGAGGCAGTGAAAAAAACTTTAACTGTATCAAAGTATATTGGAAATTACTTTCTTTTTTTTTTGCACAAAAAATTAGATTGTAAAATGTGGAAAGTTGATGAATAAACGGTGATAATTGAACAATTGAATCAGTAAGGAAAATGTAAAAAGTTTTACAGTATAACAGAACAAACAGCGATTGCTCGAAGGAAAAAAAAAACAAACAAACAAAGAAGGTCTTTATAACTGCAGTTATTTCCTACGGTATTCGCGGAGAGAAAAAAGAGAAATTGTGTTCACCCAATGAGATTTGTATGATTGTTATATAGACATCTATTTTTTTTTTTTTTTGCAGTTTATTTATTTGATGTGTGTTTGTTGTGACGATATACTGCATGTTTATGGCTGCTGTTAAACATCCAGATGACATAAGAAGAACAGCAGAAAAATGCTCATGTTTTTGAAGTGACATTTGATGTGTTGAAAATTAAAACAAAAGCAAAATTTAATTCTTTAGCATTTTTTGCGGTCCCCGGCGCTACTAGTTGTTTTGCCATGGATTTTGTGCTTAAAGCTAAATGTCAGAGTTTGAGTGATACAGTGACACTGATCACTCAATCTCATCTTCCTAAACGACATATCAACTTCTATTGCTGTTGGTGCTGCCGTTTGCCTAAGCTTCATCAACCAGCAGACGACGACCAGTGATTGACTGAGTGCACATACAGCACACAGACACAGATACTGCTGCTGTTGCTCAATTTTTATCCACAAAAGCACCATACACTTTTACTTTTGATTTCTTTTTTCGCCCAGTCAGCTTTCACCCAAAAAAAAAAAAAAAAAAAAA